CAGCTCTCATGGCAAAGCCCTGTCACCCCTCCCATCCTATTCCCTCTCTATTTCTGCTCCAGGCTACTACAACCTCCTGTTCTCATGCCCATGAAAAGGAAGGTGCTCTGGACAGAAGGGGCAAAAAGTTTTGCTGCAAAGCACTCTCTTTATGAACAAATTTTGCATCATGCCATCTATTCCAAGTTTTGGAGCATTTTATTTAAAACAACTTTAGAAATTACTGTCAAGTCTCATTCTTTTCACAACATTTTAGCCTAGGGAGACAGAGCATCCCCTGGTGAGACAGTTCGCGTTCTTGAACAAAATGTTCTCCAAGTTCAACTATCTAGCAAGCCTGAGGGAAGCATCATTAAGGTCATTGACAAATTTTAAATAAGAAATAAAATAAAAAAAAAATGCAGTCAGAAAGAAATGACAGTTAAAAACAGCAGCTCAGCTGAAATCTGGCCAGTACAATCCAGAGGGCTTCAATGCCAGCTGCAACTGCAGTGCAAAGAGTGATATTATTAGGGGATATGTCAAGGCTAAGGAATGACATATGAAAATTATGAACTAATTGAGGGACTGGTAGGGCACTGAGGGTCCACCCACCAACTAATGGTAATTATTGATGGGAAACATGCTTAGTCATTTGTGCACAATTTAGTGATAAGAATGCTAGCACAATGCTTCCTCCTAGGCTATCTTGGACAAAGGCTGATGGTTTTGCTTCTCCCTCTTTCCTTTCTGAAGGAAGCCAGTCCTCCTGCTTCCACACCTGACTGCCCCAGACCAACTCACATGTGTCTATGCGTCTGCACAGGCACTGAGGCATAAAGTAGGTGATGACATGTAGCAGCTGGCTTCCACTAGAAGTGGATTCACCAGCCCATGAAGGGGGTAGAAAATTACTCAAGCAGAAGCAGCCAAGAGTTTGCCATCAGCTTAGGAACCTGTGCTAGCTGATGTGGGATACGAGCAGCTCCACAGCCTGTGTGTGGCAGGAGGTGGGATCCCCTGGGCTCCCACCAGAAAGGTAGAAGGGGAAGCAGGACGTGCTGCTGAAGCCCACCTAGCCCATGGCACATTAATGGCTGAAGATCTCAATGTAAGTGAAGTATTCTGGGAAAGACGTCCTGTCATGAAAGGAAATTTCTTAATTTGTACTGTGATGTTTCTGTAGAAGCAGTCCTGACACACAGGAGAGGTGTTAGCGCTAAGGCAAGGGCTCTGCCAGAAGCAAGTCTCTTGGGAAGCTGACACACTGCTGCAACTGGAGATTGGTGACAGCTTAATTCAAAGTCTCAGTGACAGAAGGTTGTGGTCAACAGCTTGAGTTGGAGACTCTGATTGCATTCCTGCATTCAATTACAGATCAAAAAGTATGGTAACTACCATCTCACCAGCTCCTGAAGAGGCTTTTAGTGCAGCAGCTTCTTTCTCCAAAAATGTGATCCCACCAGGGTTTTTATCCTACTCCCTTGCCACCCCCCTGTTCTAAATGGTCTGTTTTAACAATTGTTGTTGCTGTGAGACTTCTCAGATATTTAACTACCTTTGAGTTCTGACAGTGCTTGAATTAAGGAGGTTCCCTCAGTTTAATGAAGGGCGTCTTTGATATCCTGACATGGGTCCAGCATTCAGCAGCATGAACAGAACTGTGAATCACACCCCTGCTGTCAGAGGTGCAGCTCCAGTCAAGGCAGTCCCTTACACAGCGTTACTCCTGTGCTCCGCTCTGCTTTGTTCTTACAGCTCTGCTTCTGCATTGTGCACCCACAGCCTTCATCAGAACTGCATCTTCTACCACAGTGCTCCATAGGACTGTTTTGCTAAAGTAGAGGCTTTCTTTTCAGCAGGCATTATAATGCCAGTTCACATTTGCAAAAGAGTTTAATGTTCAGATTGTACCCACATGCTTTCCCCAGAAGGAAGAAATATGCCCAGAGTGAACAGCCAGGCTCCCTTACTGCATGGTAGATGTTTGCCAGAACAAGAAAAATTGTTGCATGTGTAATTTTAAAAATTATTCTATTGTATTACAAATGGTAACTCTGGAAGGGGGCCTGTGTCATAGGTAAACAAAGATGAAAGCCAACTTCTGATCTAACTTGTGCCTTCCAGAGAGAAAAGAGAAATGTCACTGAGCTGCCGGGCTTAGACTCGAACGGGGTCAGCCAAGAAATCATAGACAAAGCCCTCGGGAGACACATTACACCCATCACCCTGCAATCCACAATCAAAAGCAACCCTTTGTATAGTGATATCCAGGTGGATGATTACTGGGAGGAGAAGAAAAAAAACCCTTCCTGGACCGTGCAAGACTATGACAGGCACTCGCTGCACTCTAACTTGGCCAGCCACATAAAGGTAACGTGCCATGGCACTGTGTTTGCGCAAAGTCAATTGCTATGAGCTCTGTGGATATGTGCATGAACCACTGTGCAGCTCTCTTGGTTCTTTTGGTGGGATTCCAGAAGTAAATATGGACATATTTTCTGGTACAGACATGACACTAACATGAGTCTGATCCGGAAAAGAAGTCTACGTATCTGGTTAGACTCCAGGAATTTCAGTTCTGCAGAACACCACCTCTGTGACTAGAGAAAGTCTTAAACCGCAGTACCCGGCAACTCAGCTTCCCCATTTATACAGAGAACTATGACAAGGCACTTAAATACCATGTGCCCACTTTAATAACTGTTCACAACATCATTCTGTTATCAAATAACATATATTTTCTCAGCCTCGCCCGCAATATGCAAGATCCTACCTGCCTGTGGCAGGTTGCTTTTGTGAGCTTTTTTCCTGCTGTTCCCTTTTTGGAAAGGGACTCAGATCTGTGTTTATAAAGTGACATGTCTTCTTGAGAAGACAACATGGTTTCTTTTGGGTTTTTAATCACATTTCAATGGCTAGTGTCCTACATTTGGTTCCTGGCTGAAAAGTGTGGTTTTAATTTTCCCCAGTGGAACATTTGCAGCATCTGGCAAGTAGTGCAACCTATGTTCAAGTGAAAGTCTCTTGCATTTGTGTTGTGATGCCTTAAATTCATTAATCACTATCTGATGATGGCCAAAATACTTCTGGCTATGTTCTAATGACTTTATGTGCAAGAGAGAGGAACTGAGTTCATTCTCTGATTTTTCTTTTAGGAAAATCCTAATGATCTGCAGTTCTGGATGGGGGATATTTATACTCCTGGGTATGATACCTTGTTAAAAAAGAAAGAGAGAGAAAAAAAGCATTCCAAATGTTGCCGAATCATCCTGCTCATGGTACTAGCTGTTTGCATCCTGATTACCGTAGTCACGCTCAGCGTTTTACTTGCTTAATACAGCCAAATGATGTTGATGGGAATTTTTTCAATAAATATTTTTATTAAGCTATTCCCCTCCCTTGTTTTATTTGAATTCCAATTTTTTGTCACAAATACATTTTGTTTGACATCACTATTTTACAATGTTCCTGTAAAGCATAAGGAATTGATCCTGAAAAGAGACAAATACTCTCAGCACGGCAAATGTCTCCTTATGGGTATAATTAAAAAAAAAAAAAACACCAAACTATAAATATGCTACTTTTCCTAGTGCCTTCTTCTTTGGAATAGTCATTTGGGTAGCATGTGTGGTATGGTACATATAGCATGTACAGAAAACCAGCAGACTATTTGTTTCAATAAACACATACCATCCTGTTCATTTTTTTATGATAACTATTATTGGAACGTAGAAAAGTGTGACAAAGTGGCATTCAAGATATCCCAAAGAATTCTAAAACAAAAATTTACGCATTAGTTAGTGACTGAATGCATTGCTGCAACGATGCAGCACTTAGTAAAAAGCTAACCTAAATGCGTAAATGTTTTCTTACATTTTTTCAGAGAAGAAAAATAAAAAGTAGACCACTGAGCTTCTATCAAAAGAATTCCCTGATGCCTGAGTCAGGGTTTCTTCATCACATGTAGCATCTCTGTGACCCCAAAAGATGGAGTGACAATATTTTTTTAATCTGAATTGTCAAAACCTGGAGCAAAATCAGTGGAGCACTAGAGCATAAACTGGAATTAGAATACACCTTAAAGAGACTAAAGTTATACAGCCATTCCGTGAAAAAAGGGTCTTTGTAAATGAAAGGACCAAACTTAATAATAATTCAGGGGAATGAAAACATGAGATAAAATAACAAAATAAAAAATGAGTGAACAGAGAGAGAATTTAAATTATTTCTTTTGTTTCTGAAAAATATTCTGAGTGCTGCAAACTCTTTATATTTCTATATTAGAGCAAGGGTCTATGACTACTATTGAGATGGGGATCTCCCTCACTTACTCAAGAGAATCTTGCAGATGCATGAAAGCTGGGTGGTTGGGGTTATACCAGATTGACCTCTTTTCATGCAAAAAAATACGCTGAAATAGGTCAGGAATAGAACCACGGTAGAGGGTGTGTATTGCCCCCTCTGGATTCTAACATGTGCCCTACTTACAGCAGCTTTGCAGTGCTTTAAGTCAGGTCAGGATGGTACAGTGTGACAGCAAGGTCAGTGTGTCTAATTCCTTCCTTCCTCACCTGGTCCATGTTTGAATCTCATTTGTGCCATAGCTACTCGAACCCTAGTCTAGCTTGTACCATAACTGGTTTGAAGACCCAAGCTAAAACAGTTTACTGCTTTAATCTGGTGAGCAGCCAACAGCAAAAGTCTAGCAGCATTTTAATGCATTGGTGCAAAATTAGTAACCCTATAACAAAATTGAACATTGCTGTAAATATACAGGGGAACTCAGTCTCCTGGCGTGCTGCAGTGTCAGTGTGGACGAGTGTTCTTGCCTGAAAGATCAGGTCCATTCGACTTATGAAAGTAAGAAAGTAAGAACTTGGGAGCATTTTACAAGACTAATAGCTGACATTATGAAGTAATTATTCACATTAAAGCAACAATACTTAACTGTTTTTTTCCAGCCTCAGTACATTTGCTTTAAGTGCGTTGCATACAATGCAGAGATGTATTTTTGTAAATTATGGAGGCCTGCAGGCGGGAAGCCTAAAAGCAAAGGGCTCTGTAATTTCCAGGAAAACAGCCAATAACGCAAGTTTTTTAACTGCATTGCTCTCTGAGGGTTTCGCAGTAGGGATAAAATCGTTTTCTCCCGTTACTGGCTGTTTCAGTCTGGTTTCGCTGCTGTCATCTAGCGGAGAGTCAGAAAAGAGGAAAAAGGTTTCAGGCACAGAGGTGACAGTTTGGAGTAATTTGCCTTTTTTTTTTTTTCCCCTCTTTT